CCCCCTGCCCTATGCTGGGCAAGGGGCTGGGCCGTGGGTTGCAGAGGCCTGGCCACCCCCTGACCGACCTCTGTGTCCCAAGCCGGCACCAGAGCTCCCAGGTACCCCTCCCCTGATGACTCCACCCCACCCCCACCACCGCGTCCCTGTCCAGAGGCACTTACTCTCCCTTGCAGTGAGCGGCCGTCAGCACAAAATCCTTCGCCACCAGAAACCCGCCACAGCTACTAGTCTTCTTTCCACGTCGTATTTCCAGGTAGACCATGTAGGGCCTGGAGTGGGGCTTGGCTTCCCTTCCCCCGACGATCTCCCCTGGGGGCAGAACAGGGCCATAGAAAGGGCCGCTGTGATTCTCTGCTGGGGGGATCCAGGTCTCTGCATCCCTCCGTACCACCTGCTCAGCTCTGCCCTACATTGGGCCCCCCGTGGGGCTGGAGGGGATCTGGAGCTTTTTCATCTGGCCGGGTACAGGGAGGGGAAATCAGTGCGAACCGCCCCAAGAGTGGGGCACTCGTCACCCTGCCGCCTCCTCCCCCCGCCCGCTGCTCCCCGCCCGACTCACCACAATACGGCTGCCAGGGGAAGTGGTTTTACTGAACGAACCCTCCCCCAGGGAGCCCCTTCCCCCTCCGTCCTGGCTGAGCTTTTCTCGTGTGCCCCCGGCTCTTCCCCGCCCGTGCTGGGAGATGTCGACAGGACAATGGTCAGGCTTTGGCGGCTGAAGTAAAGGTCAGTGATGGGGTTGAACATGCAAAGGGAGAATGTCCCTCGGGAAAACCACAAATCTCCTGGGATCTGCTCGGATCCCGGCGGGCGGGCGGGAGTGGTGCAAGTTCTCCCCATTAAGGAACGGAAGTGATTGGCTTCACTGCGGGAGCTAGACCCAGGTCAGGGACCTTTCACTGTGCGCTCCTAAGGGGTTTGGGTGCCTGATTCCCGTCAGCAAATCATGGAAATAAAAGCCCCAGAGACGTTTAAATTCCCCCCAGAGATGCTGAGCTGGGAAAGGATCCCAAGTTTCTTAGGTACGAGCTCTTCCCCTTAGCTCCCTGCTCTTGCCCTGCTCCACCAATTGCTCCTAGCATCTCTCCCTAGACACCCTGCTGGCAGCTCATTGCGTCTCCAAGTAGGACACACGGCTTGGCAGTGGGGTCCCACAGAAGCCCTAAAAAAGCCGATCCACACGCCCCATAGGCGGAGAGCCCCAGAGATACTCAGGGGAGGCTGCAGGGGTCCCAATAGCCCCTCGGCCCCAGGCGGGGCAGGGGAAGACCCTCACTTACCCCACAGCTCCCACCCTGCTCACCCCCAGTGCCCTTCCCCCACTCACCAGCCCAGCCCCCAGGGGGCAGGAGGAAGGCCCAGGGGAGCAGACCCAGAACCAAGAGCTGCATCATCAGAGCCATCCCGGGCCAGGCACGGAGTCGCTCCCTCCGGTCTGAGGCTTATATGGACCAGGCGGAGCAGAGTTCCGGTCTGAGGCTTATATGGACCAGGCACAGCACAGCGGAGGCAGGGCCGGCCAATCACAGGGCCCCACGTACACGTCTGCCTTGGAACGCCCACTGGAGATGGGCCACGGGCCAAGGTGCCCACGGGGCAATTCTCAGGCTACACCCACCTAGCGGGAGGTTTCCTCTCTGCTCCGGTCCTGGCCTGGTGTCATGGGCGACGGGGCCCCTGCCCGTCTGTCAACCTGGGGATGTGGCTAACGCTGCCCTCCCCATCCACCAGGGTCAGAAACGCCCCACGGCCAGTCTGCAGTGAGATCCCCCAGCCCCGAGATCTCAGAGGGGGCAGAGGGGACAATTCCTGCCCCTTTGCTCACTCCAGACACCAGACCCACCCTCTGGCAGCAGGAGACACAAGGACTTTTCCCTCCATGGCAGAGGGAGCAGAGTTCGGTCCATAGGCCATATCGGACCCTCTGTACTGCCCTGACCTCCCAGCTGGGGCTGGCCCCCAGCCCCCCCATCTGGCCCCTTTCTCTGTAGCTTCTGTTCCCCAGCACCGGGGCGGTGCGCTACTGAGGTTCTCATCCCTGATGCCCTGGGCAGGGTGGTGGCGGGGCTGGAGGAGCGGTG